CTTTCCATATATGACGAGTGAAAATTTGTGTATGCAGTAAAATTTTGCTAAAAATTTATTTTAACCCCCCAACGAAAAAAATATATTTCATGTGTTTTAGTATTAATTTACTGTAAAAAAAAATCTAAAATTATTTTTGTTGGGTTTGGCCCCCAAAATAAATTTTTGTTGTTATAAAAAGGTTTAGGTAAGTTTTTAAATTCCTTTTTTGGGCCCCAAAAATTTAAAAATTTTTTTCATTAAATTAATGAAAAAAAAAAAAAAATCTTTTAAAAGTTTATAAGAGAAAATTTTAGAAAAGGGCTTAATTTTAAATGGTTCTTTCTAATTGACCAGTTTTCATATTTTGGCAAAGACATATATATATATATTATATATATATATATATATATATATATATATATATTATATATTATATATATATATAATTTAAAAATATATATTTAAATATATTATTTTAATATATAATATATATATAATATATATTAAAATAATTTTTTAATATATATATTTTATAATATTTTAATATATTATATATATATTTTTTTTTTTATTTTTCACACCGGCCCGATTTCCCCCCCAAGGGAGGGGGGGCCCAAAAAAAAAAAACTTTTACCATCATTTTACTCCATCCTGTCTTGCCAGAAGGGTGCTTTACACTACAGTTTTTTAAAATGCAACATTAAAAACCCCTCCCTTTAGAGTGGGAGGCCCCTGGGATTCCCATCTCCAGGGGCTCAAAGTCCGGGGCCCGCCCGGTTTTCCCCGGAAAACCCTTTTTTAAATGTTCTTTGTCACCTCCAAAAAGCACGTCAAGTTTTAAAAACCATTTGTTTTCCATTCACTCCTTTCAAACACGCTCACGCATGCCTGCTGGGAAAATCCAAACCCCCCGCACACAAAAAACCCCCTTTTCCCCCTCCCTCCAACCCCCTTCCCAGGGCCCACCCCCACCCCCCCCTTCCTTCCATACAGACTGATTTAAATCTTGAAAATCATTCTGTTTCGCTCCATTCTTCTACATGTCCGAACCACCCCAAAAAAATTCCTCGCCCTCTGGGACAACAGGTTTTTGGGAATCCCCCCCCTCCCTAACTTCCAAACTACGAATTTTCTGCATTTTTTCACACCACACCCTTGCCCTCGGAAAATGACTCTCCACTGCCTTCCCCGCCTTCTCCTCGCTGCAAAAATTCATTTACCCACGTTTACACCATATAAGGGGCGTTGGTTAAAAAATATATCTCATTTCAAATTTCCCCTTTTGCCTCCAAGGACAAAGTTCTTTGTCTCAAAAGACTCCTAAGTGCACCCCTCACTCTTTTTCCCTCATCAAAATTTTATGATTCACCCCATCTTTCCCTAGACCCATCCGCTGACCGTCCACTCCCAAATTAAACTGAATTAAAGGTTTACCTCCCCCATTTCTCTTCCCTCCAAACTGATATTCAAAACTTTTATTTACCTAAACTTTTTGTTATCCTCTTTAAACCCTTTCTCTTTCCGTATTCAAACCCTTTTAATTTTTTTTCTTTTGCACACCCTTTCCCAAAATTTATCCCCCAATCTTCCCGGGAACTTCTCTTAGAAAATTTTCCCCCCAAGAGGGACAGTGTCATCAGCAAAAGAGCAGCCCGTGACAAAATCCCAAATTTGTGTTGTTTTTTTATCCTTTTTTTAAAAAGCCCCTTGCCAAGACCCTCGCATTTACTTCTTTTTAAAACCCCATCTATAAAAAATATTAAAAAAACCCCCGGGTGAAACACACATCCTTGTCTAAGGGCCCATTTTTACTGGGAAAAAAAATTTTCCCCTTTCCTACATACTTAACTTGAAACCTCACTATCCTTTGTAAAAAAAATCTTCCCCTGCTTTCAATAAAACCCACTCCTACACCATTTCACTTGCAAATCTGCCACATTGCCCCCCTATCCACCCTGTCATACGCCCTTTTTCCCAAAACCATAAAAGCCCCAAAAAACCTCTTTTTTGCCTTATTAAAATTTCTGTTCACTTATATGTTTCACTGTTAAAAACCTGGTCCCCACACCCCCCCACCTTTCCTAAAGCCCCCTTGTTCATCTGCTATCCTTTCTCCGTTCCCCTTTCTCTTTTAAATTTTTTCAAAAAAAACTTACCTTTCACTTTACCGGGTTTTAAATCAACAGACTTTTCCCCCTATAATTTTTTCCACTTTCTCTTTTCTCCCTTTTCCTTTATACAAAGGGAAATATCATGCTCTTGCCAATTTTCCCAGATACCTTACCCTCTTCCAAAAATTTATTAAATAAATTTCAAACCCAAACCCCTCCAAAAAATATATCCCCACCTGTTTTTAAAATTTCTTATTTTTTATCCCTTCCCAAACCCCCGGTGCCTTTCCCCCTTTTATTTTACCTTTCTGCCTTTCCCCAAATTCCCCACACTCACCCCAATGGGTCTTCCTCCTCCCAAAAAGATGTTATTTTCCCCCTTGCCCTAATTTTCACAAAACACAGCTTCCCTATCTTCATTTAACAATTTTAAAATTTTCCCCAAAAAATTTTCCCCCCATTTCCCAATCCCCCTAATTCCATTTAATAACTCTCCTCTCCCATTTTTAACTTTACAAATCCCTTTGTTTTTCTAGGGGTTCCTTAACTTGTTAATCTCACTCCAAAACTTTTTCTTATTTTCAACAAAATTTGTTGATAACATCTCACCCACTCTCTCATTTGCTCTCTTTTTACATTGCTTCACCACTCTCTTAACCTCTCTCTTTTTCTCCATATACTCTTCCCTCCTTGCATCACTTCTACTTTGTAAAAACTTCTCATATGCTAACTTTTTCTCCCTTACTACTCTCTTTACATCATCATTCCACCAATCGCTCCTCTTCCCTCCCGCACCCACTTTCCTGTAACCACAAACTTCTGCTGAACACTCTAACACTACATTTTTAAACCTACCCCATACCTCTTCGACCCCATTGCCTATGCTCTCGTTAGCCCATCTGTCCTCCAATAGCTGTTTATATCTTTCCCTAACTGCCTCCTCTTTTAGTTTATAAACCTTCACCTCTCTCTTCCCTGATGCTTCTATTCTCCTTGTATCCCATCTACCTTTTACTCTGAGTGTAGCTACAACTAGAAAGTGATCTGATATATCTGTGGCCACTCTATAAACATGTACATCCTGAAGTCTACTCAACAGTCTTTTATCTACCAATACATAATCCAACAAACTACTGTCATTTCGCCCTACATCATATCTTGTATACTTATTTATCCTCTTTTTCTTAAAATATGTATTACCTATAACTAAGCCCCTTTCTATACAAAGTTCAATCAAAGGGCTCCCATTATCATTTACACCTGGCACCCCAAACTTACCTACCACACCCTCTCTAAAAGTTTCTCCTACTTTAGCATTCAGGTCCCCTACCACAATTACTCTCTCACTTGGTTCAAAGGCTCCTATACATTCACTTAACGTCTCCCAAAATCTCTCTCTCTCCTCTGCATCCCTCTCTTCTCCAGGTGCATATATATATATTATATATATATATATATATATATATATATATATATATATATATATATATATTATATATATATATATATATATATATATATATATATATATGCAAGGAATTCGCGAGAGCATGCGAAATATACACAAACACTGATCTCTGAGCCAGAGATCAGTGTATATATATATATATATATATATATATATATATATATATATATATATATATATATATATATATATATATATATATATAATATGTCGTGCCGAATAGGCAGAACTTGCGATCTTGTCTTGAATAGCAGCGCTCATCTTGCCATATAGGACAAGTGAAAATTTGTGTATGCAATAATTTCGCCAAAATCATTCTAAACCTAACGAAAAAAATATATTTCACTGTGTTTGTTTAGTATTAAATTACTGTAAACAAATCTAAAATATATTTAGTTGGGTTAGGCTAAAATAAATTGCTCTTGTTATAATAAGGTTATGTAAGTTTTCTAAGATTCTTTTGGTGCAAAATTAAAAATTTTTACATTAACATTAATGAAAAATATATCTTTAAACGTATAAGAGAAAATTTCAAAAAGGACTTAATTTTAAATGAGTTCTTGCTAATTGACCAGTTTTACATATTCGGCACGACATATATATTATATATATATATATATATATATATATATATATATATATATATATATATATATATATATATATATATATATATAATGTGTGTGTGTGTGTGTGTGTACTCATCTAGGTCCTCTCTCTCCCTGCTCCATGAGCTTTATCAAACCTAGTCTTAAAACAATGTATGGTTCCTGCCTCCACTACGTCACTTGACAGACTATTCCACTTGCTGACAACTCTTTGACTAAGAAATACTTTCTAACATCCCTTTGACTCATCTGAGTCTTCAACTTCCAATTGTGATCCCTTGTTTCTGTGTCCCATTTCTGGAACATCCTGTCTTGGTCCACCTTATCAATTCCTCACAATATTTTGTATGTCGTTATCATGTCTTCCCTAACCCTCCTGTCCTTCAGTGTCGTCAGGCCGCTTTCCCTTAACCTTTCTGCGTAGGACATTCTCCTTAGCTCTGGAACTATTCTTGTTGCAAACCTTTGCACTGTCTCTAATTTCTTGACGTGCTTGACCAGGTGTGGGTTCCAAACTGGTACTACATACTCCAGTAGGGCCTGAAGTACACGGTGTACAGAATCTTGAACGATTCATTACTGAGGTATCGGAATGCTATTCTCAGGCTTGCCAGGCGCCCATATGCTGCAGCGATTGTGTATTGTGTATGTGTGTACTCACCTAGTTGAGGTTGCAGGGGTCGATTTCAAGCTCCTGGCCCCGCCTCTTCACTGGTGTGTGTGTGTGTGTGTGTGTGTGTGTGTGTGTGTGTGCGTGTGCGCGTGTACATACATATAGTTTACATATTTCATTTATTATTTTTTCTTTCTTAATCAAATTATACATTACAGATGATGATAAGCAACCCTGGTACAGCTGGTTCTCAGACACGGGCACGATGATGACAGGTAGCGTTTGTGATGGTGGTAGTATAGTGTTGGTAATGGTGGTAGTATAGTGTTGGTAATGGTGGTAGTAGTATAGTGATGGTGATGGTAGCACAGTAGTGATGGTGTTATCGGAACATTTAGTGGGGGAGGGTATCCTCCCCACTACACTTGAACTACAAGTTCAAGATACTGTCTCCACCTGCGTCTGTTCAGCTTTATCTTCCTCACTGAGGCGGCTGGCACAACCTTAGTAACCTGACTGCTCAAACAGCGTCACTGTTAAGCTCCCCGCAGAAACTTAACTGCTGTCCATGTTTTTAGCTGAAGTAACATCGTGAGACGTAGTGGTTGACCAGAAAATCTGCATTATTTTTGTGATTTAAAAAGAAAATACCGATGTTAATGGTTGTGTAAATATTAACAGAGTGTGGACTAGTCATGTGGACAGCCTACTATATGGACAGCCTAGTATGTGGACAGCCTAGTATGTGGACAGCCTAGGCATGTGGACAGCCTAGTTATGCGAACAGGCTAGTTATGCGGACTAAGATTACATTTCGCTAGGATAGTGAATATCATCCCCCATGCTACCACCATCTGCATAATAACAAATGGATGGTGGGGTTTCATTCGTCAGGAAAAAATGCAAGTGTTTCCTGATGATAACACCATAATTAATTAATTAAGCATACGCTTGCCTACCGCAGATATGTTTTCCGCCCCACGTAGAAAAGAAAGGATTGACACAGTAAAAACCATAAGACTGGGATTATATACAGGCAAATGATAATTCTTACCTGCTCATTGATGAGATGTGAAAAGCAAGAACAATGCAAAAAAAAATTTCACTGACGCAAGCAAGTTTTGTTTTGTAAACAATAGCGGTCGAGTGCGGTGGATTTTTTAAGCAAAAACATCTGTTATGATGGCCGACTTGTGATAATATTTGGTCTGTGAAGTGAATGTGATAAGTGTTAATTAAAGTTTATATATTTGAATGACATTTAACCAGTTGAATGACGTGTTTACACACACACGCGCGCGCGCGCACACACACACGCACATACACGCACGCGCGCGCAACACACACAACACACACACACACCACACACCACACACACACACAAAACACACACACACACAAAACACACACACACACACACACACATACAAACACAAAACACACACACACACACACACACACACACACACACACATACAAACACAAAACACACACACACACACACACACACACACACACACACACACACACACACACACACACACACACACACACACACACACACACACACACACACACACTACAACAACACAAACACACACACACACACACACACACACACACACACACACACACACACACACACATACAAACACATACAAACACAAAACACACACACACACACACACACACACACACACACACACACACACACACACACACACACACATACAAACACAAAACACCACACACACACACACACACACAACACACACACACACACACACACAACATACAAACACAAAACACACACACACACACACCACACACACACACACACACACACACACACACACACATACAAACACAAAACACACACACACACACACACACACACACATACAAACACAAAACACACACACACACACACACACACACACACACACACACCACACACCATGTTATCCCTGTAGTTTACTGTTAAACCATTACAGTTCTAATATTTTGTTTAGACTTTAAATAAAACATGTACAGAATATGTATACAAAATATGTACAGAATATGAAGAATTAGACACATGTGCAACATCTGGGTATCTATTGGTGTTGCAAATGTATCAAATTCTTCATCTTGTCGGTATTGTGTACCATACATGTACAGAATGTGTACATAATCATTGTTACCGTCTACTAGAGGTGTCATTTATACAAAAATGTGAAGGTGAGGCTGTTTCATATTCCCTGTTCCTTGATGACAGTTCTGTCTTGTGTACAGACTGTCACTGAACCGTTATTATATTGGTGTAGGACCGCTATACCCGTAGGGGGCGTACAGCGCCTGGAGAATGGTAGGTAATCTGGTTTGACCCGAGGAAGTGTAGGGTAGCTCCAGTCCCTTCGATCAAGAACCCTTCACCGACCCTTGTAGCTTTATGGGAATTTTAGTGCCATAAAATCTACATGTAGTCTACCCAACTGTCTACCTGCATTCTGCCTGTCTACCAGGAGTCGTTTCGTGGGATCATTGGCCCACTGCCAGGTTCCAGACCAGGCCTCCTGGGTCATAAACTGATCAGTCAGGTTGTATGGGTTAGCAGCAGGCGGTCCAACGTTGGTGGCGTAAGTTATCCTCACCACCTGCTTCCATGTGACTGAGGTTATCACCAAGTTTTCAGGTGACAAGTTATCCTCACCAAGTCTCCAGACGCCATTGGTTATCCTCACCATGTCTCCAGGTAACGGAGGTTATCCTCACCATGTCTCCAGGTAACGGAGGTTATCCTCACCATGTCTCCAGGCGACAGAGGTTTTCCTCGCCAAGTCTCCAGAAGTTATCCTCACCATATCTCAGACGCCATTAGTTATCCTCACCATGTGTCCAGGTGACAGAGGTTATTCTCACCACGTCTCCAGACGCCATTGATTATCCTTACCAAGTCTCCAGGTGGCAGAGATTATCCTCACCATGTCTCCAGGCGACAGAGGTTATCTTCACCATGTCTCCAGGCGACAGAAGTTATCCTCACTATGTCTTCAGACGTCACTGGTTATCTTCACCATGTCTCCAGACGCCATTGATTATCCTCACCATGTCTCCAGGTGACAGGTTATCCTCGCCATGTCTCCAGGTGACAGGTTATCCTCACCATGTTTCCAGGTGACAGAGGTTATCCTCACCATGTCTCCAGGTGACAGAGGTTATCCTCACCATGTCTCCAGGTGACAGAGGTTATCCTCACCATGTCTCCAGGTGACAGAGGTTATCCTCACCATGTCTCCAGGTGACAGAGGTTATCCTCACCATGTCTCCAGGTGACAGAGGTTATCCTCACCATGTCTCCAGGCGACAGAGGTTATCCTCACCATGCCTCCAGGTGACAGAGGTTATCCTCACCATGTCTCCAGGCGACAGAGGTTATCCTCACCATGTCTCCAGGCGACAGAGGTTATCCTCACCATGTCTCCAGGTGACAGAGGTTATCCTCACCATGTCTCCAGGCGACAGAGGTTATCCTCACCATGTCTCCAGGCGGCAGAGGTTATCCTTACCATGTCTCCAGGTGACAGAGGTTAACCTCACCATGTCTCCAGGCGACAGAGGTTATCCTCACCATGTCTCCAGGTGACAGAGGTTATCCTTACCATGTCTCCAGGTGACAGAGGTTATCCTCACCATGTCTCCAGGCGACAGAGGTTATCACCATGTCTCCAGGTGACAGAGGTTATCCTCACCATGTCTCCAGGTGACAGAGGTTATCCTCACCATGTCTCCAGGCGACAGAGGTTATCCTCACCATGTCTCCAGGTGACAGAGGTTATCCTCACCATGTCTCCAGGTGTCAGAGGTTTTCCTCACCATGTCTCCAGGTGACAGAGGTTATCCTCACCATGTCTTCAGGCGACAGAGGTTATCCTCACCATGTCTCCAGGTGACAGAGGTTATCCTCACCATGTCTCCAGGCGACAGAAGTTATCCTCACCATGTCTCCAGGTGACAGAGGTTATCCTCACCATGTCTCCAGGTGACAGAGGTTATCCTCACCATGTCTCCAGGTGACAGAGGTTATCCTCACCATATCTCCAGGTGACAGAGGTTATCCTCACCATGTCTCCAGGTGACAGAAGTTATCCTCACCATGTCTCCAGGTGACAGAGGTTATCCTCACCATGTCTCCAGGTGACAGAGGTTATCCTCACCATGTCTCCAGGCGACAGAGGTTATCCTCACCATGTCTCCAGGTGACAGAGGTTATCCTCACCATGTCTCCAGGCGACAGAGGTTATCCTCACCATGTCTCCAGGTGACAGAGGTTATCCTCACGATGTCTCCAGGCGACAGAGGTTATCCTCACCATGTCTCCAGGTGACAGAAGTTATCCTCACCATGTCTCCAGGCGACAGAGGTTATCCTCACCATGTCTCCAGGTGACAGAGGTTATCCTCACCATGTCTCCAGGCGACAGAGGTTATCCTCACCATGTCTCCAGGCGACAGAGGTTATCCTCACCATGTCTCCAGGTGACAGAGGTTATCCTCACCATGTCTCCAGGCGACAGAGGTTATCCTCACCATGTCTCCAGGTGACAGAGGTTATCCTCACCATGTCTCCAGGTGACAGAGGTTATCCTCACCATGTCTCCAGGTGACAGAGGTTATCCTCACCATGTCCCCAGGTGACAGAGGTTATCCTCACCATGTCTCCAGGTGACAGAGGTTATCCTCACCATGTCTCCAGGTGACAGAGGTTATCCTCACCATGTCTCCAGGCGACAGAGGTTATCCTCACCATGTCTCCAGGTGACAGAGGTTATCCTCACCATGTCTCCAGGTGACAGAGGTTATCCTCACCATGTCTCCAGGTGACAGAGGTTATCCTCACCATGTCTCCAGGTGACAGAGGTTATCCTCACCATGTCTCCAGGTGACAGAGGTTATCCTCACCATGCCTCCAGGTGACAGAGGTTATCCTCACCATGTCTCCAGGTGACAGAGGTTATCCTCACCATGCCTCCAGGTGACAGAGGTTATCCTCACCATGTCTCCAGGCATAATGTTCCCTCAATATATTTTCATACTGGAAATTTAGTATATTTTTGTACTGGACAAGATGTTGATGTTTGTTAAATATAAATAAATCTTCACAACGTTTGTTGTAATTTTCCTTTATTTGTATTAAGTTATTAAATCATAACAACGTACTAGAACTAGCCGAACTATCCTTACCATGACTAGTGCTAGTATTATTGACCAATTATTATTAGTGGTAGTGGTGGTGGTGGTAGTAGTAGTAGTAGTGGAAATATTGGCAGTATTATTATCATTAATAGTAGTGGTAGTGGTATTATTAATAGTAGTCATAAGTGTCATTATAAGGACAGGAAGAGGTCACGTCAGCCGTTTTTTGAAGTGGGGTCATGTAACATCTTCCCTCAACTTTCTGAATAGCAATCAGACTGGTGTCTAAGATTCTGAGTGGATTTAGGTGTGAAACCCTTGGGTCACACCTATTTATAGTCCCTATTATCGTGATAATAAATCATTATAACAATTGAAGTTTTGGCCTCAATAGTTCAAAGTGAGTGTGATGTGCTATTAGTTTTTTTTTTATAAAAAATCGTTAAAGGTCCAGAGATATTTCCATTGAACATTAAATTCACCGGCTTTACTTTAAATTTAATTATTTTATACTATTACAGCGAGTCTTCTTACAGATGTATGTATTTACATTATTTGTAAATTGATGTTGTCGGGCTGTTGGGGCTCCTCAAGCACCTGGACGGGATCCAAGGAGGCAGCATCCATTATTACTCTGGATCGCCACACAGGCGCTGGAAGACGGCGGTGACAACCATCGGGTCGCTAGTAGTATCCATGAGCTTGGAACTGTTCTTTCAGGAAACTCAAAGCACTTTTCCCAAGAGCCAAGGATCTCTGATTATATTGGGACAAAGTTATAATGGTGGGTCGAGTCGCTATACTTGTGCTTGTCTTCTTCCCTAAGATCAGCAACAAGACCCTGAAGACCAGGTGAATATAAGTATTAGCTAGAGTAGACGCGCTTTTATAATCCCACAGTAGCTGTCTGCCGTTCTTCCAGGGACGCAGTGTGATCCCACTGGGGTGACTAGCAGGGATATTTGCGTAACTTTGAATAGAGATAGAGGTTTCCCATCGGCGGGGCGCTTGTGAAGATAGACTTCTCTTGATGCTGTCACTGCTTTCATTTTATCTAATAAGCCATCCTTTGGAACTTGCTCAGCTCAGATCAAGCAGACCATGTTAGTTAGGTAACAATTTGCTTCAAATACATTTTAACTTAGTATGAGTT